TAGCATTAAAAATAGAATAGGTAAGGGAGCTTGATATTCAAAGAAACAACATTTTAGAAGAGGTTTGTACAAATATCTGGAATCAACTAGATACATGCTTGTGATGGTGAATTTTGTGTCAACTTGGCTAGGCCATGAGACCCAGTTTTTGGGCAAACACCAGTTTAGATGTTGCCATGAAAATGCTTTTAAAATACGATTAGCGTTTAAATCAGCCGTCTTTGAATAAAGCAGAGATTGTCCACTATCTCGTAGGTGGGCCTCATCTGATCAGTTGAAGGCCCGATGAGAAAAGACTGATGTGTAACACTCAAGTTCTGCCTTTACACTTGAGACTGTGACATCAGCTGTCTCCTGGGTTTAGCCTGGGGCTTGCTCTGTACCTGCTCTGCAGATTCTGGAAGGGTCAGGCCCCCACATTTGTATGAGCCAATGCTTTAATAGAAACCTCTCTATATATACATATGCTGTTGGTCCTATTCCTACGGAGAACCTCGATAGGCCATTTTGGATGCAGATATGTTTTGGATAAAGATATTTTTACTTGAAACCATCTTTCATATGAGACCGAAGGTTGCTATCCTTCTGATTTCTTGGTTAATATTTTCAATCAATGCTCAAGATAAACACTCCTCCCTAGTTTAGACGAACAGGTACCGGAGAGAAAACTAGGAAGAGTTTTGGCATTTGGATGTTTGCTAGAATTGGATTATGTTGGAAACAACTGTAAATCTCATAGGAAGCATAAATACTCAGCACCACGAAGATGTGGCGATGCCCAATAAGTTCTTGGAAATCTGAAATATGTGAATCTGTGTTTAGCCAATGGAAATGTTAAGCATAATAAAAATGAAGAAATGTGCTACCAAAGTAGTCCTTCTATTTATGGTCTAGCTTTCTTTCTTTTAAAGGTTTTTGCTGTAGGGCACATGCATTTGCCAGAGAGAGACAGTGAGAGACAGTGAGAGGGAAAGTGAGAAATCACCTCCCAAGGGGGATGGCCATGCCACTATCTCTTCTTTTCCATTTTTAAAAGGAATTTTGGGCATGCACACACATGTGCTTGGTGTGATTTTCAAACCACGAGGTCTGGGACTCACTCAAATCATGGTTAGCCATGTGGGAGTCCAGTACCTTAACCACTATGACACCCGCTGACTTCTATGTTCCAGCGTTCTTAGCTCTACTTTTGATTATTACATGGACCACTGATGTTTACTTCTCTTAGTTTGTTTGATTTTTTAGTTATTGTTTTACAAACATTTTAACAGTCATTATAGACTTTTTTTTTTTCTTTTCAATTTGTTTAGGGCATGTGCATCAGCCAGAGAAAGAGAGAAAGAAAGTGAGAAATCACCCCCTGTGAGGTGGCTACACTGCAATCCCTTCTCCTCTTACAATTTTGGGCACACATGCACACACGCCCAGTGTGTTTTCAAGTTTCTGGGTCTGGGTCTTGAACCAGGCAATTGCTCATGTGGGATCCAGCCACCTTAACCACGATGCCACTGGCTGGCCCCAATTATGAACTTTTTAGAGAGTTTGTTTCATGAGAGGGAAATGAGAGCAAGAGAAAGAAGTAGAGCAAGACAGATATTACCAGCAGAGTCTCATGTCACGATCCACCGCCAGACCTTTAGTCAGCTAGGATCACCGGCATGGTCCAGTTATGTACAAGTTGTCCCAGGAACCGAACCCTGATCTCTCACTCGGCCTCCAGCATTGCAGAGCTTTACAACTGGGCTAGGTTTCTTTTTTTAGAGGAAAATTTACTTACAATCCCGCTACCTTAGAAAGTCTTTTTATTTTTAAATATTTATCTAATTTTAGTTAGTATTATTATTTTCAAAATTCTGCTGTAGGGCATATGCACTCATCAGAAAAAGACAGAGAGAGAGAGAGAGAGAGAGAGAGAGAGAGAGAGAAAGTCACCAGGTCTGGGATTCAAACCCTGGTTGGTGATGTGGAAGTCCAGCATCTTAATTATCCTGCCACCTGCTGGCCCCAGAAAGTCATTTTACTGAGCCTCTCAAGACACAGGCCAGAGGAAAGGCCAACAGAACTCTGAGTCAAGGGCAGAAGGCCTCCGGAGAAGGGAAACCACACCGAAACTACTGTGGAACAACTGCCATTTCTGAAATGCAATTTGCAAGTTGGTATTCTCACAGAGGCAGTGACTGGCAGAGCGATTGCACCATTTGGAAGGCACTGAGGCTGTCTGGCTTTTCACAACAGCTGTCTCTGCGAACTCTCCCCAGGCTCGGCCATCAACTGCCCATTTCCCTTTTTGTCTCCCGAAGCCCCAGCATATGAGGATCTGGCAGCCAGAACAAGGTTGAGTGTGACTGACACAGGAAACGGCCCGTGGCTGGCCTGGCGCCGGCCCGCAGCTGAATGGGGACACGCAGCCAGGCCTTAGCAAGGAAGCGGCTGTCACTCAAAGCACTCAGCTCAATGTCACCAGCTCACTTGTTTCCTTGTCCCGAGTGTCTTAACTCTCTTAGGAAGGTAACACTGATGATGGGACACAGGATCATTCACACTTAACCTCCTAGCTTGGGTAGTTCTTAAGGAAAGGGAGAGGCAGGAAGTAAAGTAATATTATTCAATGCATCCCACACCATGCTGGACACTTTCTTTAAATATATGCTGCAAAAGAAAGTGGGTAAGATCAGGGCCTGGGGCCGAGCCACACCAGCTGTTTGACCTTGGGCAAGTCTCAGATTCTGACTATAACAACAACAACAGTAATAATAATACCTATTTCACGGAGTTATTATGAGGATTTAATTAGTTATGACATGTACAGCACTTACAAGGGTGTCTGGAACATGGTAAGTAAATGCTATCTAGACGCTACCTCTATTAGTTAATTTTAACACAGCCCTGTTTATCTTTTTATGGGTGGAGGACACTGAGGGTCACATGGTGAATTCAAATGCCAGGACATGGCAGCGTTTAAAACAAACTCCGATTTACCTGACTGCAGTGTTTTCCTCCCAGAACAGGATGGGGCCTGCTCAATGCTATCGAGTTCCTTCTCCAGCTTGCCAGCTTAGGGTTCAGTTTATCAGCCCGCCTTTGTACGGACAAGGGTGAAATCCTATATGACTAGGGCTCTGTCTCTAATCCCTATTCCACTCATCCCTGGAGAAAGGCCAATAGTCAACCTGTGCAGGGTCAGGGAGAGGAGAACCTTCTCTCCTTCCTCCCACCCCAGGCCTAAATGGCCTTTCCCCTCCTTAGCAGAAAGCAGGAGGTTAATCATAGCTAAGTATGAGATACAGTCAGATAAGCGGGACCCTGGTGGATTTAGGGGAGCAATTGGCTTGCGGGCAGTGTTGTCCAACAGAAATATCACAGGAGACATATACATATATATTTTAAATTTTCTTTTCTTTCTTATTTATTTTTTGAGAGATCTTTGCTATGGGACACATGCGCTCACCAGAGAGACACACAGAGAGAGACAGAAAGTGAGAAATTACCCCCCAGGATCTTTGGGCACCCATGCAGTGGGCGGAGCCCAAGTTTCAAGCTGCCCAGTCTGGGACCTGAACTGTGGTCAGCCATGTGGGGGTCCAGCGACTGTAACCATTATGCCAATTGGCTGGTCCCTATATTTAACATTTGCTAATAGCTGCACTAAAAAGGCAGAAGATAAAGGTGAGATTAATTTTAATAATATTTAGTGGGATATATCCAAAATATTATTTCAACCTAGAATCAATATAAAAATTAACTCGATATTCTACTTCTTGGTATTGTTAAATACATTATGTATTTTACACATACAGCCCTAGAACTAGACCGTGGAAGCAACAGCTTCCAGCCAGATACTTGACTATGTGTCTCATTCATTGTGCGACTTTGTGAATAAAACTGTCCCTTGCTGGCTTTCCTTCCTCCAAAGACCGACTCTCAGTTTGGAAAAAAAAAAATGGCTGAAGGAGTAGTGAGGACTCTTGCTCTTCGGACTTCCTCCATTAGAGCAGGTTTTGCGGACAGCTGATTTCTTATAGGGTCACAGCGTTTATACTTCTCATCGGGTGGAGTCAGGAGTGAGTGATGGGGACACTGCAAGTTCAAGAAGGTCTTGGGCCTCCTCTTGGACCCTGGCAAAGACGGTTCCCGTGTCTTGTGCCCACTTGTGCCATGGATCGCTGGGCCGATCCCAGGGGAGGCGGTGTGGCCTCCCCGGACCACAGCACCCCAGGACGGGAGAGCAGCCTCGTCCGCCAAGCAGACTTGGCAGGGCTCAGATTTCCTGGACCGGATGGCAGGACAAGCCCGGAGCCCAGCACGGCGCTGGCGGGCACAGGATGCGCTGCCCGCGTGCGCATGCCGGTTATCCGCTAGCGCTCGGCCCGCGGAGCAGCTGCTGCAGATCCGCCGGGGCCGCCGCCTCCTCCGGGGCTTGGACACGGCAGGAATCTCCCCACCCCGGCTGGACGTCCTCCCCGGCGGGGCCGCGGGGCGGAGTCGCCCACCTGTCATCCGAGACGCCCCACGTGGGGCGGCCCGGAGGCGGGGGCTAAGAGGAGGGAGAAAAGGCCGAGGCGGTGAGGGAGGCAGGAGTGTGAGGGGCGTGGAGCGAGGAGCGGAGGCGAGGAGAGGAGAAGGGGAAGAGGGGAGTCGGGAGAGCCGCGCGGAGAGGGAGCCCGGAGCCGACGGAGGAGCGCAGGGCCGCTGAGGCATCCGGAGAGGGACAGGTACGGAACGGCAGGTGAGCAGCAGGGAGGGGAGAGCCGGGCTGGAGAGAGCGGGAAAAGGAGAAGACGCAGGAGTGAGGCGAGGGCTGCGGGCGAGGGGCAACGAAGCTTGGGAGCGGGGCTGAAGGCGAACGATTCTAGGGTGGGGACGGTCGGGGTCCTTCAAGAAGGGGCGGGGAAAGGAACCCGGCCGCTGCGCCTTTAATGTTGCCAAGGCGACGGCTCTGGCCAGAGCGAGGCGCATTGACGTCAGCATCTGAGCGCTGATTGGCTGCGGCCAGGTCTGGAGCCGCCGCCGAGCCGCTATCGCTGAGTGGAGCCGGGTTGAGAGCGAGGCGTTCAGGTAGCTCGGTCCGCCGAAGTCTCGCACCCTCAGTTCGTGCTTGCCGCCGCCCGTCTCCAGGTGAGTGGGGTCGGCTGGGGGCCCCGGCGCGGTGCGCGTCCTCGTCTCGCTGTCCGACTGGGGGCGCTGGACCGATCCAAGATGGCGTCACGGGGAGCGACCTGCTGGGGAACGGCCGCACCCCCTTGCCCCTCCCCGGCCCGGCGGGCGCCTCCCCGCCGGCCTCACGCCCCGGGCCGCTCCCACAGCCCCGAATGTGCACCCTTGGGTTCCCCTGGCCGTCGAGGCGTCGGGTGCGGGGCTCCCGGGCCGTCCTGCCCCCACCCTCCCCTGATTCCGGGCGTTCAGCTCCGGGTTCTCCGCAGCCCTCGACGCCCCGGCCGCCTCCGCCCCCGCGCGCCGTGGCCATCTCGCTCGCCCTCCCCCATTTCCTGAAGGACATCAGTTCGGTTTCACCGGAATCTGCCGTCGTTTCCCCCGCTGGTTCTGGCTGATCTTGAGACCCGGCAGTTTCCCCGTGCATTCTGTGTCCTTGTCCCTTCTGTCATCGCTTATCCCTCTCCTTCGAGGCATTATCTTCCCCCCCTAAAGCTGGTATTAGTCTGGCTTCCAAGTTTCTTTTTGTCCACTTTCACCTCCCTTTCTTTCCCGATTTCGTCCCCTGAGGCTCATTTTGTTCCCTAGGGTTCTCCGCCACCGTGGCTTTCTGACTAGTGTAGAAGAGGGGGCGGCCTCCCTTCTTCATGACTGCGGTTTCGGAGGAACGAAGGACACTTTTCTGTCCGTCCTCTCGAAAATTCGTGGTATTTGCTAACCCCTCCAGTTTTGTGCCTGTGTGGTGCCAGCAGACTTACTACTTGAGAGATTCCTAAGGGATCCGACTGCTCAGCAGAGGAAGGAAAGCTAACACTTGCTCAAGATGACCCCAAGGAAGCCTTACTTTACTTGGCAGGTCTAAGGGGGTGCGGTCGGAATCAGGAACAGTTTCTCCAAGTGTTTTAAGTATGTCCTCTAATGAAATCTTATAGGAAGGAAATGTTATAATAACTCTTTTACAGTAACAAAAAATCTGAGTGTTTCCTTATGAGTAGACAATGAAGGAAAAGTTTTAAAGTAGTTAAATAATTTTTAGTGGGAGAGAAGCTGAGTTATTGGCTCTTGAAATTTTTGAAGTAACAAATACAGAAGTAATCCATGTATGTTAAAATGATTAAGACTGTGAAATTTGGTTATTCAGGGGTTCGGGTGGTGTCTGTATTGATCTTGGGGTATTTGTGTGTACGTGTGTCCATGCTATCTTACTACCACTGTCCTCTTTGTATTTTTTTGGTAATACATTAGTTTCAAACAAACAAAAAGTTTAATTTCTTAGGCTCTGTTATCTCTACCAGCCTGATCTTAGAATTTCTCCGATGAGTTGAATACATGTATTAATAGTCCTGAAATATGACTGCCTGTCTTAAAGCATAGATCTTGATGGCCTTCGGTATTATACAAAAGGCAGAACATTCTTCTGATTTTTTTTTTTTCCTGTTCATAGCACTGCCTGATGTAGAACAGTGGCTGATATAAATCCATCCTAAAGTAAATGAAAAAAATTTTGTGTTTTTTTCTGAAATAGCAGCATGGTTCTTTTTTCCATGGCTTCTAATTTGTGGTGCTTGTCAGGGAGCCACAAACGTTCCCACGGTCTGTTAATTAGTCTACTTGTTATTGACCTTTATCATGAAAGTTGTCAAAACAAAATGAATAACAGTGTAGCACTTTAGTGCCACTCTACTCTGATATTTCTTTCTCCTCTTAAATTTACAGTTCCTTCTCAGTGGTTTTGTGTGCACCATAATTGGAAAAGTCTGGTTAGTATTGAATTCATTTGTAGAGTGGAGAGGAGCGTTCTTAACCTCTAATCTCAATTGCTTAATAATTAGGAGTTGGGAGGAATACAGTATGTGACCCTGTTAAATTACTAAACTTTTAATTCCAGAATAGGATTCGGTGGTGTTTATTTTCCATCATGTTAGTTTGAACACCCTGAAACTCCTTAATACAATTTATCTATTGAGTCTTTGTATAAGTTTGAAACTTAAGTGTTTTAACATTTTGTTGTCCAGATGAAGAAAACTTGTGACAGGTTTTTGTTTTAGATCTTTCACAGTTTACTTTGAGGTAAGGTTTTTTTTTTTTTTTTTTTTCTTTC